TTAATTTCATCTTCTGAAACACCGTCAATGCATTCTCGGACTTGATTGACGAAAGTGCTGAAATTTTAAAAGATTGCTAAGGACATTTCGTCTGTTCAATCAAATTTTAATCATGCATGGTTATAATTATGTACCTCTCGTAAGGTGCCAATTCCTCGCAATTCAGAAGTATATATGTATGTGCGCTGTGGTAGTCTTGTTCGTTTGACCAACAAGTTTCTTTTAGTTTCCCACTTAGACGTCCAATTGGTGAGAATATATCAGGCACACCTTCTACTGCGTAACTTTGTCCTACACCCCCATCACCGTAACGTCTTGGAGCCCGTTTGCGTGTACGAACCTTTGGAGCAAAGTAATAAGACGTGAAATGAGAAGTCTCTTCTGTCAGACTTCCCGCCACGATAGACCCTTCAACTTTTGCTAAGTTTTTGGCCTTACCCTTCAAATGCTTCATAAATCGTTCAAACGGATACATCCACCTAAACTGAACAGGTCCTCCCAACTCTGCTTCATGAGGGAGGTGTATAGGTAAATGTTCCATAACATCGAAGAAAGCAGGTGGGAATATTTTCTTTAAATTGCACAACAATATTGGAATATTTGTAGACAGTTGTGCAACTACATCTTCTGATAATGTCCTTGTACTTAGATCACGGAAGAAAGCTCCAATGCCTCCTAGTGCCTCATGGACATGTCCCGGTAGGAGTTCAGCAAACGAAAAAGGAAGTAACCGTTGCATAAACACATGACAATCATGACTTTTCATCCCTGAAAACTTTTGTCCTTTATCCACAGATTTAGCCAGATTAGATACATATCCATCAGGAAATTTCACGACTGATGATACCCAATTAAACAATGCTGTTTTTTGTTCAGCACCCAACCGAAATACAGGAACAGGTGCTTTTCCATTACTCACCATATGCAACTCAATTCTGTTATATATATCGGGTAAGTCCATCCGTGATTTAACACTGTCTTTGGTTCTTCCTTGGACGTTCAAAACAGTATGCATGATGTTATCAAAAAAATTCTTCTCAATGTGCATAACATCAAGATTATGTCTAAGCAAATGATCTTTCCAGTAAGGCAGATCCCAAAATATACTTTTTTGTGCCAATTGTGATGAACCCCATATCCTTCAGGCATATTCGCAGGAGTGTGCCAATTTCCTCCAAGGGGGACCGTTTCAAGTCCACCCCAATGATCTATTTGCGCTTCAAGCTCTACTCCAGTTAGGTACACTGGTGGAGGGAGACGAACCAATTTGTTCTTTATAAACAAACGCCTGTTTCTTCTATATTGATGGTTTGGTGGTAAAAACCGACGGTGGCAATCAAACCAACAGGTTTTCCTACCATGTTTAAGCTGAAATGCATCAGTCCTATGAAGACAATAAGGACATGATAACCTCCCATGCGTTGTCCAACCTGATAGCCTTTCGTATGCCGGGAAATCGCTTATTGTCCACATAAGCACCGCTCGCATCGTAAAATTTTTACCACTCGAACAGTCATATGTTCGTACTCCAACATGCCACAACTGGTTTAACTCATGTATGAGTGATTGCATAAACACATCAAGGGCCCGCTTCGGGTGATTTGGACCAGGGACTAATATACTTAGAAACAAAAACTCTCTTTGCATGCACATATCTGGAGGAAGGTTATATGGCGTAAGAATCACAGGCCATAATGAATATTGCCTACCAGACATACCAAATGGACTAAACCCATCAGTGCAAAGACCAAGATAAACATTTCGCTTAGACCTAGCAAAGTCTGGATGTACGGTGTTAAAATGTTTCCAAGATTTCCCGTCAGACGGGTGAGTCATTTTGCCATCTGTTTGTGAATGTTCTGCATGCCATCTCATCGACGCAGCTGTCCGTTCAGATTGATATAGTCTTTTTAACCTATCAGTGATAGGAAGATACCACATTCGTTGGTAAGGAATCTTCTTACGCCCAGCAATTTGCGGTCTATATCTTGGCTTTTGGCAAAAACGACATTCTTCAAGCTTCTCATCATCTCTCCAAAAAAGCATACAATTATCAACACAAACATCAATCATCTCAGAATGCAATCCAAGACTAAAAACCATCTTCTGAATTTCATAATACGTTTCAGCAGCCAAATTATCATCTGGCAAATACTCTTTAATAAGATCTGCCCAATCGTTCATGCAAACTTCAGATAGATTGTGATCAGTTTTTATTGTCATCATCCGAGCTGCCAATGATAATTTTGATAAACCTTCCCTACATCCCTCGTACAGAGACTGTTTTGCTGCGTTTAACATATCATAAAAGCGTTTCGCATCTGCATTGGGCTCCTCAACAGTATCATCATGTGTTTCATGAAATGCATCAGTAACCATTTCATGCATCCTATCATGATCTTCACCCTGAACTTGACTACTTTGATAATCATTGGACGCTTCAAAATCCACATGTTCTTGGTGATTACTACTACTCCGTGCAGCCATCTGACCACTACTTTGACCATATCCCTCTCCATGCTGATACAAAATAAAGTATTGGGGCATGAACCCTCTATTCAATAAATGCTGCCAGACAGTATCAATAGGAATATGTTTCCTATTTTTGCATTTCACACAAGGACAATACATTTTGCCGCTTTCAATTACAGTTTGCATAAGGCCGGCTTGGTAGATGAATATTTCCAATCCGTTTTTGAAGTCTTCAGTCAACGACCCATCACCATTTTTGGGCGTATACATCCACTTTCGTAGATCGTATATAGACATTTCAAAAACAAATATTTGACTTTTTGTTTCTGAAATTTGATATAAATTTCAACTACTAAAAATTTTACTTAAACATTCAAAGACTCAAAAAATTTGTGTCTTTATATGTTTTTTTGGTTGATGGAATAATGAGAGAAGAAAGGGTATATATAGAATTTTTTGTTTGGTTGCCAACATATTACCATTGCATATTTACATCAAATTTACGTCGAAATAAAAATTACATCACATTTATATTGATTTTACGTCAATTACAAGATAGAAGACAATTAATCGTATTATCGATGTAAATATTACGACAACATTACGACGAATTAAAATTCGTTCTTTATTCGTCGTAATATCATCGTAACATTACGACGATTTTACGAGGGTCATTTTTTACGTCGAATTTACGACGATATTTTTGATCGTCGTAAATACGACGTAACGTCGTCGTAAAATTACGACGACTAAAAATCGTCGTAAATAATTCGACGGAAAAGCCCATCATTCTTGTAGTGGCACATAGATGTTGTGCCATCGTAAATTATTGTTTTGCATGGTTACGTTCCAAAGCACATCAAATAATATTAAATGTAAAATACTTTTTTTTAATTAACAAAATATACTGTATCAAATAGTGTTTATCCACGCAAAGAAATTTTAACTAAATCTTTCTAACAACATCTCGAAAACAATATAAACAATCATTTGGTTAATCATAAGAATATAAAACAATCGGTAAAGCAATAAGAATTGTAGAAATATCTAAAAGTATGTGTAGAAAGTCTAATGTTTGCTAAAGCCACAGTCTAAGAGTACAATTTGAACACGATTACAAATGATGCATGACATATCAGGTCTTTTAGAAGTGTACGCGAAATATGATAGAAACTCATGGTCAATCGATTAGGGGTTCAGCTAGCAGTTTTTATCAACAATACTACTGATTTTTCTATACACTTATGTACAAACTTTGTACCAAGAACAAGGCTTTGAGTCGATGACATCCGGGTCTGCTTCTACATCAAAGCAAAGATTTGATCCAAATGCTCAATAATGAGAGTGTCATGACCCTATAACATCTCTCTCATTCGTGCTACTGAAGGGCCAAAATTCACTCTGAAAAAGAAAAGAATAAACTACAAGTTGGAGATTTTAAGAAGGAGATGCGTGAGCGAGGCATGGTAAGTGAAAACATATCCTTTATCTTGGATTCAGTACATAAATTCAATGGCACATACAAGCCCATTTGGTTATATAATAATTCTGATGGATTGAGCCTAAACAACAATGCTACTACTACAACTTGTGAAGTTTTTGATTTTACCACAAATGCTTGGAGGTACATTGTCCTTTCGTCCCCTATCTGATTCTTCAGGATTCAAGGACAAAATCCTGTATATTTTGACGGGTCACTTCATTGTTTCACTGCCCTGCACGAGGGCCAAACCAATGTTTTATCTTTCGATCTTCACATAGAAATTTTCTAGGTAAACTCTAAAGCACCCTTTCTCCATGGCTCCAGTGATCAAGACATCATCATGTGCAACCTGGATGATCGTTTATGCGTATCTGAGAAAATATGGTCCAATCAGTTGATATGGTCGTTCGATTCAGATCACAAGACATGGAAGAAAACATATTCCATAGATCTCGATATTACTTCTTCTTGGGTTGGGAATCCTTCTTTGCACTCACGCCACTTGCAATTTTGGACAAGGATAAGATATTGTTTTATAAACATGGGAATCCATTGGTACTACATGATCCTAATGCCAAATCTTATGATTTAGCTTACACATCTGAACTCTCTCCATTTGCTATTTGTTATTTTCTGAGTTTAATCTCTGTTCGGTAAAGTTTATTATTTTCCGAAACATTGTAATTTTCACATTGGTTTTTGGTTGTTTTCCAATAAAATGATTCACCTTTAGAAATCAAATGTCATAATTTTCCACAACGATAGTAACAGGTTACAAACCAAATCAACTTGCTATATATTGCTATAAACTCTGTTTTTTTACATCAGCGAGCCTTTGAAACTTTAAACTAATGCAGGGATCTTTGCGGTAGTCCAGTTACCCAACCCTTATCATCCATTCATTAGTATTATGGAAAAGAAAAAAAAACCCCTATAAATGTACCATCGGACTGTCATACGAATAGGAGTGGCCTTCAATAATTTCTGACTCAGGCAAATGCAGTGAAGTGAAAGTGATCTATATTGTCCTAATTCTGTATATAGCAAACCAATAATTCCTTGAATTCCCAGTGATTTACAAGATCAGCGTAACACAAAACAGTCACACAAAACCTTTACATCTCCATTCATGGTTTTGATATAACTCTAAAGAGACAATACAATAAGTATAATTTCTATTCACATGCATTTAAATATTTAATCTTTGTTGGCTCCGTCGCTGGTTATATCATTAGATTGTCTGAGAAAGCGTACTTAGGCATGTGTGTGAGAGTAGAAAGGCTTTTTCATTTCAGCGTCTGAGTCAGTATGGTCAACTTCTACTCTGCTTCAATCTTCACATCAATCTCTTACCCACAAAACATTCAATCACTCAAGTGAACTCTCTCTTGTACTTCAAGTAGATAATCTGAATACGCAAAAGCAGACCTTTAAAATCATGCTTTTTATATTTCAAAATATCTGAGAAAGGCAACTAAAAGATGGTTTTACCTGGTGGTTGGTTTCTGTAGTGTTGTATGCATAGAGTCTTGAAAACGGTTTCTTGATGCTCTGTTTTGAGAACCTGATCCTCCCTTTTGACCGTTGTTCACATCAGTTGATTCTCGGTCAAAACTTGGCTCGTGCGCAGGGATATCAGAGACTGTGTTTCTCATCAGTGTTTGCACTGGTCTCTCCTCGGTTTTTCTCCAAAACGTGGGACTTAAGAAATCTGTACCAGGTAGTTTGGAACAACTCTCTCCTCCACAGCTACTGTTCTTAAGGACTCTCCCGTTTGAAACCGCAAGATCGCATGATATTTCATCCAAAGCCATCTCTAGACCGCTTACACGAGACTCCAGAGACTGGATCCCACTCTGTGAGCTTCCCATGAATTTCTACATCCAAATGAAGAAGATTTTTTTTAGTATTTCAGTGAGAGGCTTGAGCCATTTATAAAAACATTCATAACCAAAACAATTTCATCTCTACATGATCGTTAAAGACCAATTTGTATACCTGAAGAAGGTCTAAGAGACTGGACTGCTGGTTCTCAATGAGAGCAAGCTGTTCTCGTATCAAAGACAGTTCCTCGCTGTCTTTCCTGCTCTCATCAACATCATCTTTACCACTCTTGGCAACAGAATCACCATCGTCAATGCAAGGTGCAACCCTTGAGCCAGACCTCAAACTACCAAAGCCATGCACTTTATCTTCCCGGCTTTTCTCGGAGATTGTATGTTTGATTATATCTGGTCCCCCTGAGTTCGCCTTCTCCTCCTCCGATTCTACCACTTTACTACTCCGATCCTCCAAAGATTGCTTAACCGGTGGAAACTGTGGTCCCTTGTTATCCACACTAGAGGCTGCTGCTTCTACTACTAACATGGTCATATTCCCTTGATTTCTTTTTGGAAGATTCTCCTTTTGTCTAGTAGCTGCATATGATCTATTCACAGGCAAAGATGGGGACCTCTTCATTATAGGCGTTGCTTTCTTTGGTCTTGAGGACTTAAAACCAACGTCAATGGTGGAACTTCTCGTGACAGAGGAAAAGCATCCAATGCTACCATCATCTGCAACCAAATTTTTAGACAATCAAATCAAATATTTAAGCTAAAAAATCGAACTTTTCAGAAATGTAACTATATATAGAGAACATTACCAGTAGAAGATCTAGATGGAGATAATGAAGCTTCGTCGAAACCATTTGAAACTTCTTTCCACTGATTCAGTGTTCGATTCATAGTTTCTCTCACACTTTTCACCTGCAATGTAGATTCACTAATTCAGATTTAGACTCTCGACCACAAGAACAAAACAAAAAAAAAAGCAATTTTTTTTCACCTTATCAAATCTTCTGCTCTCAAGAGCCACCGTGCAAGCTTTCTTGTACTGCGACGCCGATTCTTCCGCCGTCGCAACTTTACCCAACGCCTCCGCCGCAGATTTCCTCGCCGCCCAATCCTCGCTGCTCAGAAACTCAATCAAAACCGGAACCAACCAATCCAAAACCGGTTTAGTTCCCGCGCCGCCGGCGCTTATTATACTACCCACCGCACTCAACAGCGCCGCCTTGGCCTTGAATCCGTCGCTCTTGAGCAGCTTCCCAATCTTAGGCAGAGACTTCCTCAATTGCTCCGATTCAGGATCCGACGCAGCTTCCACTGACGCAGCCAAGCACAACGCCGCTCCGATCTGCGCGTTTGAGTCGCCTTCCTGGATCAGCGTCTCGATAAGCGGTTTCGCGACGGCGGAGAACGGCTGTCTCGTGACGTGAGCGGACATATCCGCCGTCGCGGCGGCGCAAGCGGAGCGAACGGAGGAATCCGGATCTCGGAGACGGCGGATTACGGTGGAGACCATCTTAGAGAGATGGGGAGAGAGAGAGTCGCCGTGGTAGCGAGACATGAGGGATAAGACGGCGACGCACTGTTTCCTCACCGGAGATTTGCAGGAAGAGTCGGTGTTGTGGATGCAGTTTAGGAACGGAGAGAAGGAGTCGTGAGTGAGGTTTCTGGCGATTGAGTCGAGCTCCGCCGTGGCGAGAGATAAGGTGTCACGGTCGGCGAGTTTGTTGAGACAGGCGATGACTCGTTGCTTCAGATCAGGAGTCGACGGTGAATGAGAACTCGGAGATGAGGAAGACGCCGGAGATAGAGAAACCGGTGGACTCGCCGGAAATCGTCCGTGAGCCGACATTTTGAAATTTACTACTTTGACTTTCCGATTTGAGAACGTGTTCACATTAAGTGCTTGAATATGGCGGCAGAAAAAAAACTCCGATTATGCGTAGACGGTTTGGGTAATGGGTTTTTAAATGCTAACTAGAGAGAGAGAGGGAGGAGGAAGTGGTGTAAATAATTAAATAATATTACTATTTATCAGAATCTTGCTTTTTGTTGATGGAGATAAATAACCGTCTTTTATAGCCGTAATATATACACTACTCGACGAACAAAAATGCAATAATCACATGTTAATGTCGAGTACACATATTAACTTGATGCTAGATCCTCTCTATTAGTATTTCTACTTGGGGAAAACTGATAAAATCTCTTTATTGCTCGAAACTCCAAAAGTATTCATATTTTCTGTCCCAAAGAGAACGTTGAAATAGAGAACACTGATATATCTTCTTCAACTATATAGTGGATAGCTCTAACTAGTTTGTTCAAACATTCTCTTTCGATTTTTTCGCCAAAATTTTAGTATAATAAAAATTGAAATCTGTAGTCCGTATATATTTTTCCCGGCAAAAAAAAAAATTCTTACAATAATATCGTATTAAAATTGCATTTAATAGTTTTTGCTTTTTCCAGGTCTATTTATTCAAAATTGAAAATGTATGGCATTCGAAATTGTTTTGACTACATTTATTTTTTTGATTATTCTTCTCATTGCAAAGTTGAATTTGTTAGATGAACTTCTCTGTCTCAAAAATAATTAGCTGTTTTAATAATAACAGTAGTCTTTACTTCTTCTCTTTTTTTTTTTTATCAAAAATAACAATAGCCTTCACAAAATCCAAATTGGATTAGAAGAAATAGTCATTGGCGTGATTTTCTTACAGATGATAGTGTAGGTCAGAAAGATTCTGTCCTTTTTTTTATGTCATGTTAAATCCTCACAGAGAAAAAAATATATATGATATTTAAAATTCGAATGAATTGTTGGTAAAAGAAAACGAATTTCATTTAACAACAGCAATTAATATCACCATTACCAAATAATATGAAAGAATACGACAAATAAGAAACCAAAAAAAAATATTAAAACTGACAGGTAATGGAATATATCATAACTGGCGAACCTTAGAACAGTTCCAAATTTACAGTAATGAATTATATAATTAATTAATAAAGTGATTAAGACAAATTTTGAAATAAATATGTTGTGTCCTCTGTTGATGATGCCGTATAATTCTGTTTGACATTTGACTTGTTCAGAGTATCAATGATGCTTTCAGATTTAATCTTATTTTTATGTTTTTTCCCACATAATAGGGCCAACATTATTTTAACTAATTTTACATGATCTAAGATATGAGAAGCGCATTAAATTTCGTATTGTGTAGTGGATGAAGGGATCAGATTTGTTTATTGATGATTAAATGATCTGATTACGTGATTATATGATTTTGAATAATCAAGTTTTTGGTAAATAAAAATTCGAGAGAAATCATGGTAAGAAATTAGAGTGGCATAGAAAGTAAATACGAAGAGGAAGAGGGAGAGAGGACATTAAGCGAAATAATGTTAAAAGCACGTGAAGGGGAGATGGAGAGCGCAGGCAAATTGGGCAGAGGAGCACGTGACTTGATTTAAGTCCTCTCCTTCGATGTTACTGCTTCAATTATTTTAACGTGTTCTAAAATTGAATTCGTAACTTTGTTTTTTTTTTTTTGGTTTTAATGCCTCGAGATTTATTTTACATTCGGTCCATAATCTCTGCAATACAAAGGTAATGTTTCATTGACCGAATATTTGGTAATATTTGAGATAGAAGTGCATATAGAAATCAAGTTTTGTTTAAATTTATAGGGTTAAACGAGTTGTTATAAAACCGGTTGAGTAATCGGTACGTGTTTTATAATGTAAATATTAAATGGGGTCATTATATGGATTAAGCAGTAATTCCTCAAATGTAAACAGATAAAAAGCATTAATAAGTGTGGACTAATGGTTACTTTTTTTTTTTTTGTAAAAACTAATGGTTACTTCTGCTCTACGTTTAGACAAAACTCATGTTGTTAAAACGATTATGGATTTAACATATCAAGAAGACAAAAATAATAGCCTTAGCCAATTGAATCAGCGACATGCCAGATAAAAAAGTTCAAATGCGATGAACTGAACGGGTTCAATACGATTTCTATGTTAAGCAAAAAAAGAAAGAAAAACAATTTCTAATTAATTTATTATATTAAATAAATTGAACCGAACTATCAAACCTAAATAAAATTAGCTTTTGGTTTGAAACCCGAAAAATCGAAATCTCTTACTACCATTCTATTCTAAAAAGTACTAAATATATCATTAGTTTAACTTTCATAGTGCCTGTGAATTATGAATTTATAAAAAGTTAAAGTTAAATCAGATTAGAGGGTTTTAGAGCCAAACAATTCGTGGCTTTAAACTTCAAATCCGTCCAAATTAGAGAAACAGTAAAAAACTATGTTAAATCATAAAGCCATGGATACTCGTAAAAAAGAATTAAACAGACAGTATGGAGGAACAAAGGAATGATCACTTTCATGAACATTGCAGTTTTTTTCCTTGTCAAGACGGCGACGTTTGGATATGTAGGGGAATACCCTCCATGTGACTTTTGTTCGTCCGACCATTATTATGGCTTCATTCTCTATGGCCTTTTCCCGCCCCCGTCTTGTTCTTTTCCATTTTAATTTAATTGGTACCCTAATAACCTATACCGAACCGGTACAAGATCATAAATGCACCATGCATGGTCGTATTAAACCGGTTCTTGGGACAAGAAGTTAAATGTTCTGATATTTAACATCTAATCATCTAAATAGTTCAACAGTGATGGCCCAGCTAATTAAGGTGGCAGGGATATATAACACACTTTTGTTTCTATTACGACATGTTATTAAGTTCAAATCAATAGCCTCCATCAATGCTAGAATGTCTTTTTTCTTCCTGGATTCTTTTGAGATATGGAACCATTCTATCTTATTTACTTAGAAATAAATGAAACATATAGTATTATTATATGACTTTAAAAATGAACAATAACTAAAATTTACTAGGTTTAAAGCCACGTTACATACATTATTTCAATTATAATATTTATAAATATGATCAAATTACTTTTAACACTAATCACATAACATTTATTTTTTTTGCAAAACCATATAGATGAAATTAAGAATTATACATATAGGTCGATATATAAATGAACTATTAGCCCATTCGACTTAGGAAGGTATATATGGGGGACACATCAAGTTCTCTTGCTTTCATTTTTGAAAGAACTACAGAAATCCATGGTATTGTATTAACGTTTCGTACATTTTCAAAACACCAATTAAATAATTAGAATCCCCTATCCTCAAACGAAGATGCGAGAATTGAAATTATGGGTAGAGGGGCAAAAAGGGAATGTGAGATCGAGGACCAAATGGGGGATGTTGATGTTAGTAATGTTGTTTGACTAAGTGGCAAAGCTAAACTACAGATATAGATACAAATTGTGGAAAGATAAGAGACGAGCTTTCACATGGACATACCTCAAATAGTGACAACAAACTCCCACATTTTATAGTTATTTCTCATATTTTTGCATCTTTGTTTTCCTTGCTAGGGAACACTTGCACATGTGATCTTATTTTCTTCTCGTTATTTTTTTTTTTCAAAAATTGAATTTATCTTCTTCTATTTTTTGTGTGAGATGAGGGATGTGCCTCTGCCAATGGAATTTTGTTGTGGGCAATATTAATACTGTTTTTTTTTTCGGGGTAAGATACATTAATAGAGTTAGGTTCATGTACAAGGAATCTTCCATGTGTTCATTGTGTTATGCCATTATGACCCCGAGATCAAATCTATAGTCTGCCTTTGTAAGCTTTTTTTCTTTATTTATTGGATATATCTATATAATGCAATTACGTATGAGAAATTACAACATATATCAATATTAAATGTTATTTACTTTGTCTACAAATTAAACTCAATATGATAAAAAAAAATATAAGAAATTTTTGATTGGACACTGACCCCTATAGAACCATATTTTAGATTATGCAGAAGTACTCGTATTCGTATAGACCAATTAAGTTTTGATATATTAATATTATGAATTAATTATTAGGTAACCCTAGTTAGTCCATTTCTTTTAGTATATACAAGTTATTGTAGGCGACACATTCAATTACTTTGTCTTGGTGGTTAATTCAATTATAAGGAGGCTGGCCAAATACTACATTTGTTTTAGAATGGGATGTTCGAAATATGTGTTTTATAATTCATATTATCAAGATTATTATTACCATCAGCTCACATGTTCAATCATTCATTTGTGCAAAGTTAATTATTCGTTTTCCACAATCCTATATAACTATATTCTAGTTATTACAGAATACGTTTGTTTTATTTATATTAGGTGCAACAAATTTGATTTCTCTAACATCCTAGTGAAAATGGTGAGAAACTAGTCAGCTACAACTGTTAATAACATTAGTTCGTAATTCGAAATGAAGCTAGTGGCTGATATCGGAGTAAATATTTGCCTAATGTATATCAAACAAAATTTGACCTACACATAATTTCGGTTAATTTACTTAAAAAGTGTTGTCATGGATAAATTTGTTAGATATAGAGAATATTGAACTGCTTGAAAATTGTTATGAGTGTGGTTTTGCATATTACAAATGATGGGACCAAGCACTGTTTGGATTTTTGTTATTATCATTTGTAAACATTAGCACAAGAACCAATCATAAGCATTTTCCACATGGAAGTTGCTCCTCAATCATGGTTGATTTTTGGATTCATATATAATATACTTTTACTTATTCAATAAAATTGATATACTGTATATATATATAGGTGAAGTATGAATATATTATACATCACAAACGTAAACGGATATTCTATATCTTTATTTCGTGAGTGCAGTTTTGGCAAGCCTATTTTTGCCATGGCATTTTGATTTATACCCAAAATAAATTTTTGTATATCAAAATGATTGAATGAATTTTGGTAAATATCTTGCATTATTAAACTTGTAAATCTACACAGACCTTAAATATGGTTTGGTTTGAAATTAGATTTTAT